CCCCAGTCTGATCCTTTGGAGAGACCTAGTCTGTTGGAAGGGGCACAGCATTACCTGGATCCCATTCATATTCACAGGGATCCTCCTGGCTCCACCTCCTGAGCACTGGAATTACAAGTATATGCCTCCATGCCTGGCCTCCCCACTGCCTTTAGGATGAAAATCTAAGCTCAATACCCTTCATCCTGGCCATCCCTACTTGCCCCTCATCCTCCCTTTAACCTCCTCTCTGCTCCCACTTCCTGCTCTCCAGCCCTCCCCTGTTGAAATGCTGGCAGTTTCCTCAAGCAAGAGGACTGCAAGTTCATGTTCGATGTCAGCCTGGTCAACTTAGGGCATTTACGCTGAAGATTGAAACTTTTTGAATTTTTGCATGAAATTCATATATCTTACCTAGAAAAATTCAAGGAACAAGAATTTGAAGAGAACACATTTCATTATGTTTCATTGTTATGGGCATTCCAAAAATGGATCACTAGGCATTGAAGAGTTAATGAGACCCCCCATCTCAAAATGCAAATAGGCCTAGAGATGTTGCTTAGTGGTAGAGCGCCCATGGGGTTGATCCCCAGTACTGCTACCAAGAAAAAAAATCACTGGATTATCTAGAACCTCAGCCTTGTGTCCCAATCTCCTGCAAGGCAGTACGACACAACTGAGAAAGAACAAAAGACACAGAAACAAAGCTTAAAGAGAAAGTGGAGCTCTGGGATGGTCTAAGCTGCGCTGGGCAATAAAAACAAAAGGCATCCACTGGGGAAGAAATAGGGCAGGGCACGCATTAGATATCTGGTGATCGTGAGTGAGGCCTCTGGCAGGCATCTGGAGATAGCGGTTACCACAGGCAAGGCTGTAACAGGGAGGCACTGTTCCCCTGCACAGGAAAAGAGATGGAAATCAGGACAGGTCGTGATTAACCGGCATCCCACCAGGCCAGTGAAAGAGGCCATAATTCAGAGAAAAGGTTTAAGCTGGGATCACACTGACCTCAGCTGGAAATTAACAGGGCCCTGCTGCTTCACAGACCAGGCCTCAGGTCTCCATAATGGCCATTGGCAGAGGGGATGGTGCTAACCCAGCTCTGCCATCTGACAAGCCCATGTGACTCACATAGGCTTTGGTTGGACTCATAACAGCCGAATTACGGGGAAGCAAGAAGCTTGCAGCTCTGAAGCCCACTTGTAAACAAGACAGAGGTATACAGTTTTGTCTTTTGGATGCTGAAGCAGTCTACTCTCCTCAAAGCACAAAAACTCCTTCAAGACCTCTTCATGGTACTACCAACACCTGGAGAAAGGAAACCTATGCAGGCCCAGCCTTTCAGGAGAGGGTATGTGTAGGGAGGCTGTTCTAGGAAGACCAGTTTCAGTTTAATGTAGAGGTGCTTTTCCTTTCCAGGTAGAGTTGGGATACTTTAAAATGGTGAGGGCTGGACGTGGTGGCGCATGCCTGTAATCCCAGCACTCAGGAGGCTGAGGCAGGAGGATTGCTGTGAGTTCGAGTTCAGCCTGGGCTACATAGTGAGTTCCAGGTCAGTCTGAACTACATCGTGAGACCCTGTCTCAAGAACAAACAAACAAACAAACGAATGGTGAGGGCTGGGGATTTAGCTCAGGGGTTCTGCTGCCTGCTTCTCAAGCATGAGGTCCAGAGTTCAATCCCTGTTACCAGAAAAAAAAAAGAAAGAAAGAAAATGGTGAGCTTGTTCATTTGGGGGTGTGCAAGTGGGTATGGCCAGCGGGTGGGATGGCAGCCAGGAAAAGCCTAACAGTCCTGGCCAACTCCCCCTCCCCGCCCCATGGATACACAGCTATTTTTCCCCCCTGGTACAGGAATCGAACTTAGGACCTTGCACTTGCCAGGCAGGCACGGCACCACTAAGCTACATCCCTGGCCCTATCCATACACATCCATTAAGAGCCGTGTAGGAAAGAGTCCGGGAGAAGAGGGGAGGCCCCCTACCTCTCCAGGCGCCCTTGTAGCCAGTTCTTGCCAGAGTAAGCCGCCTTGGCCTCCGCCAGTTAGGCCTATTTAGCAGCCTGGGCCTATTGTCCATGACGAACCCCTGGACGCCAGATGAATTCCCACCAGCACAGCTTGAAGCACCCGCAGGTCCTCAGCGCAATGCCTCTTTTGGGGACTGACCAGTGGCTGCATGGAATGTAGCAGAGCCTGAGAGCAGGGACCCAGTCGGGGTTCAGGGATTGGACTCAGGAAGCCCTATGTCAGAGCCTGCAGAGCTGGCAGGGACCTCAGGGATGCAACTCAAGGCTTTGGACTGAGTACAGAGGGCCTCAGGGGCTCAAGGTCAGTCTCAGAGTGATTAAGCTTCTAGGAGCCAGCGGCTGAGCACTGGGAATCTGCATCCCTGGCAGAAGTGGGCTCTGCACAGCAGGGCATCCTCGTCCACTGAGTGAAGCATGCACGATCACCCCATGAGTGTAAAAAGTGAGCTGAAGTCTCGGTTCACCCCGCTCAGCGGTGTTCTGCAGCGCAGGAAATAGTGAAAGCTAGGTGTAGGACACCCAGTGAGTGCTCTGCCCCTGTGCCCCTTCCAGACCCAGCACTTCCTCATCCCCAACCCCAGTGACCGTGCCCACTGCCTGAGCTGCTTGTTAGTAGCATTCAGATTGGTGGAAATACCAGACCTGGCGTCACCCAATCTTAGTCTCTTGGAGCAGTAGAAGAGCAGAAAGGAGGTGATGACTGATCCCAGGGAGGACGGTGCCCAGGGAAAGAAGTTACGGACTCTGGGAAAGGTCAGAATTGTTTCACATCGTGCCCACTCTAGCTCCTCCTCCCCGTGTACCCAGCCTCCCGTATAGCCCCCTGCTAGTTAGCTATGTCCTGGGATAACACTAAGTACGGACCCTTTTGCACAGCAGCCCCTTTTTACACCACTTGCTACAGGATAAAAGGTCACTTAAGGACCTCAAGTGTGTCCCCAGCATACCTTGAGGGAGCGGCATGTCCAGTTTACCTTCCTCATCCACTGTATTCAGCTGCAGCACGTTGAGGTCTTTACCACGCAGCGTGATGGTGCCTGAGGCACCTGGGACCCTGGGGATGGACAGGTGGGCGGGAACTCCGTCACGGCTCCCACCAGAGATGGGAAGTGTTCTTCGACTGAACAGGAGGGTGCCAGCTCCAGCTGTGCTGACCCTTTCTTTGCTCGAGGGATCCATTGCTTGCTCCCCAACTCCAGGGACGACCTAGTGTGTTAAGGAAACAATTTCAACGTCTGTCAGATGAGAGTAAGATCACCTTAAACCCTTGTTTGGGTCTCAAGAGACACTCGATACTTTTTGGTTTTTTAAGCACTGAGGTGCTGGTGTTCCTGTGACTCAGAAAGAAAAATAACCATTTGTTCCCCTGCACCCTGGTGAATGGGCTGTAAAAGTGTAGGTGTGAAACTGGGAACTGCCTATTTCCTCCTATACATCTCACACGGGTGGGGGAAATCCCTTGGTCCACCTTAAATACAAGCAGCAGTAGCTGCAAGGCTGCCACCACCACCACCACCCCCAGCTGGAACTCCCAGGGAGGCCACCCTCTACCTGGTCCAGTTCTGTGTCCTGCCCTGTAGACCAAACCCATCCCCTACCACTCCATCCTTTTACCAGGTTTTTACTGCCTAGACAATGAGTTGGCTGCATGTTTGGTAATGGCAACAGGGGTGATTTTTTTTTTTTTCCCCAGGAGATTTTTAA